TGCAAACTTTGAATGGGCATATCTCATGCCCCGTATGTTGTAGAGACATGAAACTTTGCACAGAGATGCCTCTCCTCACGAGGAACAAATTTGCCTCAAGAACCCATAACTTCCGGTTATATAGATTTTCCGCCATTTTGAATTTTTTGAAAAACACTTAAAATCGATCTCTTCCTAGGAAGTTTGACCGATCTGCATGAAACTCAGTGAACATAATCTAGGGACCAATATCTAAAGTTCCTTCTTGGCAAAAGTTGGAAAACTTACTAAAACTGAGCTTCTATAAGGCAATGAATATTGCGGAGGGCGTGGCTCATCACATTAAGGTATATAACATCTCAAGGGTTTCACCGATCACCACGCAAGTTTGCAGGCATATGACCACACATAATCTGAGGGGACCCCTCCATTATTGACCCCATTAAACAGAATGGGGGCACTAGAGAGCTAATTTCTTATCTAGGCCTAACCGCCATATCGATTTTTACTAAACTTGGTAGACATGTAGAAGAGGACGCCTCAAGGTGACTGGAGAAATTTAACTGTAATTGGCAACTGGGTGGCGCTATAACAACAGAAAAATGCTTAAAAATGGCTAAAATACGACCGATCGCTGTGGCTCCCCCTGTGGCTGAATGTTGTTGTTTTTTTCTAATTTTTGGTATGACTAAGTCATGGTATGGTATGCTGTACATAATCACAGAAACTGTCAGTGTGTCATTCTGTCAGTCAGTCATTCTGTCTGTCCCACGTTTTTCTACTCACTGACGTGGTCAATCTATGTGAAACTGCACATAGGCATTGAGGACTGGTATAGGTAGAAGGTGACAAAGCTACTAATGGGTATGGACTAGTAGCATTTAAACATAAACAAAGAAAAGCGTAGAATTTCCAGAAAGGTAAGTGTTGCTTTAATTCTGGAGCTTTCAGTCTATTATATCCCCTCAGAACATACAATTTGGACTTACTGATGTTTCCAGCACCTTGCCAAGACTAAGGTGGGTGGAGCTGTGGTTGTCCAACATCATGGTCGCTGAAAGTTGGAAAATATTCAACTTTGGGTAAAATGCTGACACTCCTCACTGTCACTAACCCACTCAGATCGGTGGGTCCGCCCTCTCTCCCCACTAGGCATGGGTATCATTCTAAAATTTCGATACCTTGACTTTGACACGGGTTCCTGAACTATACTTTTTTGATACCAATTTTATGAAGCATCATTAAATTACATTTTTACTGAGCAAAAATCAAACTGTCAGATTACCACAACTGCCTTGTATCCTGAGCCACTGCAGCTCCAACAGTATATAAGAGCACAAAGGAGCAAAATGTGACCAATACAGTGAAAAATGAACGGTTGCAAGTCAGTACATAAGGCTTACTGCTGCATATTTAAAGTAGGATTTATACTGATGCGTCATATCCACTCTGTATGAGTATAAATCCACCGAAAGATCTTTACATTGTTCAGAAATTCTTAAAAATCAATCAACATGTCTGCTTTTTCAGGCAACCGCCAAGCCCGCTCCTGGCTGATATTGTCCCCGTCAGTAGAACATGTTTGCTGTGCCAAGTCAGAAACTACTGGCAGAATGTCCGTCATGTCCCATTACCAGGTTACTGGACTCACTGAGGTCAGCGTAGGAGGAGAGCCTCTGTAGTGCTTTATCTCTGCCTGACCCTTCTCTGTACTGCTGCTGACAGCGGTCTCTGTTCTTCAGTCGCCTTGTCCTCCTCAGCAAATAGCTTTGGCCTCCTTTGTGAACAAGAAAGTGAGCGTAGACAACGAAGACACACACAGCCTCTCAAAATACAACACGTACTTGTGATAACCCCCGTGTCTAGGCGCAACCCGTGACATAACCTAGTGTTTTTCCTGGATTTCTCAGTACAGCCAATCACCAGCACTTTTGAATATTAGCAAATCATACGTGCTGCATGATCACTGGCTCACTGACGTTGATGAGATTAACCCCTTAGGTATCGAAATTTGGTACGGAACGACAACACTCGATGGTATTGAGGCAATCCGGTCAGTGCCTAAAAAGTATCCTACTTCGATACCCAGCCCTACTCACTACAGCCTTACCTTCATCCAGAGCCTGATGGGCGGTTCTTTACACATTTCAGTTCTTTAAATACTCTATTGTAAAGCAAAGCATATCTTGGTGCGACGTTTACCATCACTGGAAAGGACATAAATGCACCAAAGCTGCTGCAGAGCTGCTGACAAGCACTTTATCTGTAACTGACAGTGATCGTGCAGTGCTGCTGATAGACTCTGCCCTGCAGCTTGGGGGATGGGAGGAGAGTAGATAGATTTGATACAGCAGACCTTGGGGCCCACTAACAGCTATTTATCTTTGTATTTCATTTATCTTATTGGTGCAGAGCTTTTGCTTTCTCAGTGCTCTGTTTTGACATTAGAGCTGCTTTGACTGGCAGGGATGAACTGTCCTGCCATCAGTTGACAGGATGGGGACGACGCCTTTTAGCTCCTTCATAGGTTTTTTTTCTTTGCTATAACACAGCTTGAATAATGTCTTTCAAGGGAGCTCATGAGCACAATAACAGAGCATGTGTAACAGTTAAAAGTTTTGCTTTTTAGATTTTTCAGCAACATCATGACCCAACTCAAATATTTTTTCACTTTTAACACTTTATGTCGCCTTTATACCAAAAACATGTATCTGATCCACCAACCAGCACTTAGTTTAGTGAGAAATCGTAATTTTTTAAAACAGTTCACCTCTCATACCCACGGTTCCCTCCACTAAAGTGGCACAGCTAACCAACAGAAGCTTGAAGCAAGTTGAAGCAACAAAATAAATAAATGAATGGTTTGTACGCAAATGCCATTTATGGATAATTTTGTTGCTGGATGAACAAGAATACTGTCATCAACATAAGATGTCTCTACATGTAAGAAAGGACATGTAAGGGATCATTAATGTCACATTGCTTTAAGAGAGTTTGGCGTAATATTTTCTACCAGAAAATGATCTCAAAAGGAATCTAGTTGTAGTCTAGCAAATAGTGACCCTGCAAGATCCCCAGTCTTTGCAAAATATTATAGTGTGTCACTGAAAATTCAGTCTTTATGCATGATTTATACTTCTGCAAAGTAGCCTGATGTGCACCTTCCTCAGAAATGTACCATTTCCCTCAGTGGAAACTAAGCTGTTATTTACTTTCATTTCACAGATAAGAAACAATAAATAGTGAAGACAATAAAGCCTCCACAAAAATAGCATTTTAAGTCTTTCAAAGTCTTTACGAAGTCTTCTAGTGTATGGTATGCATTAGAAGAGCTTCAAACATCTTTGTAAGTAACTTTTTGTCGTATCTCTCAGTCATATGAAGCATTAACAGTATTTTCCCTTTACCCCTATAGAATAGTGAAACAGGAACATAATCTCCTCTTTGAACAAAGGAATGAATAAATGAATTATTTGACAATAATAAGAAAGCCTGGCCTGCACGTTCGTCAAGAAAAAA